GTGAAGTGGATCCAGAGGGGGTGGGTGGTAACCTGAGAAGTGAAGGTACTGCAATCTAGGGGACCCAGGAACGGTGCCGCCTGCCAAAGGGGAGACTTGAGCTGAAGCTTGAAGGAAGCCAGGGGAAGAAAGAGGGGCAGGAGCAGGGAGGGAGGGAAGGGGGGCATTCTAGGCCAGTGCAAAGGCCCAGAGGTGGGAGATGGAATATGTGTTGGGGGAGTATCCAAGAGGTCAGCATGGCTGGATTGTGGAATGAGTGGGGCAAGAAACTGGGGAAGGTCTGGAGGGAGCAAAGACCTGTAAATGCCAAACAGGAGTTTATATTTGATCCTGGAGGCAATAAGAGATTGGGGTTTGGTGTGTATGTGGGGGTGGGGGTGAACATGGTCAGACCTATGGTTTTTTTTAAGCTTTTACAAAAAGGTATTAACTAGGAAATTCAGCACGGACAGAAGGACAGAGTCATCTGGTTTTGTGTCCGTCTATCCCCTACTTGGTCTCTTGGGAGAGTGGATTCCAAGTGGTGACTATCAAATGTTCCTCTCTCCAGATTCACTTCTGGGTGTAGTAGCATCAGCAACAGACAAACGGCTTGTTGCCTTGCAGACCCTCTCCTTGGCTGCCAAACCTGCGCTTTAGAGAGAGCTTGGCAGCTAGGTGGAGGACGGGCTGGAGTGGGGAGAGACTAGCAGCGGGCAGACCAGTTAGGAGGCTCCGGGACAGGCCAGGGAGAGAGGCTGAGGGCCTGCCCCAGGGCGTGCAGCAACAAAACTTGGATGCATAGACAGGCCGTGCACGGGGAGTGTGTCATCATGGGCCTGTCTGCCCCCACCCCCTCCAACTGTCACCTTCGCCCTTCTGCCTGCTCAGGGCTCTTTTTATTCCAGTGTCTCTTCATCTTAGTGATTTGGAGGATGTTTTCACACGGTCATTTCTGTGGCCTTTTGAGAAATGTTTGTTCTTGACCTTTGACTGCCCATGTAGAACTTCCTGTTTCTGGGACAAAAGTGAGTCTTATCTTTTTGGGTCATCCCTCCCAAAAAGAAGGAGAACATAATGCCCACAGCCCTCATCTTCTCCTCCCACTCGCTACTGCTTGATCTCTGCCTCCCCCTCCCCCTCCTCTCTCTCTCTGTCTCCCTCGTTCTCTCTCTCTCTGTCTCTGTCTCTCTCTCCCTCTCTCCTCTCTCCTCTCTCTGTCGTCTCTCTCTGTCTCTGTCTCTCTGTCTCTCTGTCTCTTCTTCCTCTCTTGCTCCCTCCCTCCCTCCCTTTCTCCCACCCGTCCTTTCCCTCTTCTCTCACTTTTCAGGCCCTTTCTTCCAGATCTCTGGGCACATCATGGGATTAACTCCAAACAGGAGAGAGAAGAGAAAGTCAGATAGGAGAGAGAAGGGAAAGTGGGGAAGCATGCCCACCCTCACTGCACTGACATCTTAGAGACCATAGGAACTCCCACAACGCCCAGTGAACCCCAAGCTCTTCTCTCTGCAGTCTATCCTTTGCACTAAGGTTGAAATCATCCTCCTAACAGGTGGGCCTCGGATCACTTCACCTGCCCTCTTCCCCACCAAAGGAAGCTCATGCTCCCCATTGAGGCCGGCCTTCAAGGCCTTTCACACTCTGTCCCTAACCTGCTCTTCTAGGCTCATTTCATGACATTCCTTCTCACACACCTTAACTTTCAGCCAGAGGGGACTACTTGCATTCCTGCCCCCCGGCAGCCTCTCCCTCGTGTTTAAGAGGAATTTCCGATGCATCTCTGGCTGTTGAAATCCTTCCTTCCCTTCCTGGCCCAGCTCAGGTACCATCTCCTTCAGGAAGTCTTGCCTCATCCTACCAGCGACAAGTGACTCTGCACCTCAAGCCTTTCATACCACTTCTCTATCCACTTAGCATATCCTAATACATTAGGTATTTGTGTGTGTGTTTATCATCCCATTATTTTATAGGAGGCAAGGACTCTCATATATCACGTCTTCAGCCGCTAGCATTAATGTTCTCCATACAGTAGGTGCTTAATAATTGATTGTTGAATGGAATTGAAGGCTTCCTAATTAGTCTTTTTTTAAATAAATTTATTTATTTTTAGTTTTCAACATTCACTTCCATAAGGTTTTGAGTTCCAGATTTTCTCCCCTTCTCTTCCTTCCCCCCACCCCAAGACGGCGTATAAATTGATATGGGCTCAACATATACGTTCTTATTAAACCTATTTTCACTTTGGTTATGTCTTGCTATTTAGTCTTTTCTTCAGCTTCTAACAATGTGCAGGAGCAGAAGCAAACCCTGGCTCATTGACAGTGTGGCAGTGTGAGTTTTTTCAAGGGCAAAGAAAGTTCTCTTCAGAAATGCAAAACCAAGCATATTGGCCACAGTTTTTGCCAAAAGAAGGCACTGAACCCAGGGGGTGATCAGGGATGGGGAAGATGTGTTTGCTCGCTTTTCCAAAGATAGGCTGCTCTTTTAAGTGATCCGTGCGTGGCCAGGCTTCCATGCACATTCCTTGGGAGCCGTGGCACAGCCAGAACATTTGGCATCCTGGCAGGTGGGTTCTCTCCAGATAGCTCCATTGGAGCATGCATGGTGGGTGGGCCCCACCTGGGCACAGCGAGCGTTCTGGCAGCACAGTGGGCTGGGATGGACGTGCACGCAAGCTCACGACGTGCTGAGGGGCCGTTCAGCCTGGCATTCCATTGGCACGCTGTGCCCACTCTTCTCTTCCCAGAATGTGGCTGATATCAAGAAAATGAAGTCAGCGGGCATCTGCACAGTCAAAGGAATCCAGATGACCACCAGAAGGGCGCTGTGCAACATCAAAGGCCTCTCTGAAGCCAAAGTGGACAAGATTAAAGAGGCAGCCAACAAGCTCATCGTAAGCCCCACCCAGACTTTGGCGGGTTAGTCAGCGTGGCCAAGGCCTAGTGTGCAGGGCCAGGTCTTTTGGGGAGGGGAGAGCCGAAGACAGCCCAGCTGCAGGTACAGTCATTCCAGCAGGGGGGCGGCCCGTCCCCTGGAGAGTCAGCCCTCTATCCCATTAGAGATGATGTTGCCAGAAAATTCAGGGGTGAGACAGGCTAGGGTGGTGACCTGAGAGAGAAGGCAAGCCTTCTGGGGATGAGCTGTGCCTGCCGGGAGGAAACAGCCCTGAGATGGTGGTACCCTGAGGTCAAGCCGCCTTTGCCACTGGCTGGTGGTAACTCTGGAAGGGCCCAGCCTGAGCCTTTCCATAATTTCCTGCCATGATCCCAGGCTCATCAAATTCTTATAATACGGAGGCTGATCCATTTAAACATCATGTGGGAAATTCCACTTGTATGTAGACTGCTCATATATTACAAGGGTGAGGCGTAGAAGTCTGCCACATGAAGAGTGAATGGTACCGATTAACTTACCTAGCCTTCAAAACAAGGTTCAGAGACCAGAAGGGCCTTCAGGGGCTATCTAGCCAACCCCCCCCCCCCCCCCCCCCCCCCCCACCACACCCCTTACACAGGGGGACACGAAGGCCGAGAAAGATCAGTGCATGGCCCGGGGTCGTACAGGTTTGGTCGCCGGGAGCCAGAGCAGGCCTCAGCTTCTCCAGCCCAATCCCGGCTCACTTTCCAATCACTGCACCAAGTTAAGGCACTACTTCCTTTCACATATCAGGTCCAGAAGAGTGTACTTCCTCTAGGTCCAGAACGACGGAGGTGGAGTTACTTTGGATCCCTCCTCCTCAGGCTCTGCTACATGACACTGGGCAAGGCCCTTCACTTCACTTAGTCTCAGTTTCCTCATCCATAAAATGGGGATAGTAGTAGTGCCTACCTCACAAGGCTGTGAGGATGAAATGAGATCATGAGATTGTGTACAAACAATGCTTTGCAAATATTTTTAATGGGCCAGATAAATGCTCTCTATGATCATTTTGGTTGTTGTTTTTATGCAGTCATTCCTGAAATAATGTTTATAAATAGAAGCCTTTTTTCTCAAGCTGTTCTCTGATGGAAGAAGTGCATGTGGGTCCCAGCATCATAGTCTCCCTATGCATTGCCCATGCTTCAGGGAGGCATTGACTTGTGTCTGAAAGGCCAGACCCACCGGTGGTAAATAGACTATCAGTCCATCGACGAGCGATCGCTAGTGGATGCCAGCACTGTTGGGGTCCTTGGTGGAAGGACTCTGTAACAATCACATACGTTCAGCTTTTCCTTTCTCCCTCCCTCTGTCTCTTTCTTTCCATCACTCTCCCTCTCTTCTCTCTGTCTCTTTTCCCTCTTTCTCTCCCTCTTCTCTCTCTCTTCCCCTCCGTCTCTCCTCTCTTTCTTTCTCTCTGTCTCTCTCACCTCCCTTCCTCCCTCTGTCTTCTTTCTCCTTTCTCTCCCCCTCTCTCTGTCCTCTCTCTTTCTTTCTCTCTGTATCTCCCTCTCTCTCTTCTCTCTCTCCCTCCTCTCTCTCCCCCTTCCCTTTCTCCTTCTCTCTCTTTCTTTCCCTTCCTCTCTCCTCTCTTTCTCTCTGTCTCTCTCACCTCCCTTCCTCCCTCTGCCTTCTTTCTTCTTTCTCTCCCCCCTCTCCCCTCTCTTTCTTTCTCTCTGTATCTCCCTCTCCCCCTTCTCTCTCTCCCTCCTCTCTCTCCCCCTTCCCCTTCTCCTTCTCTCTCTTTCTTTCCCTTCCTCTCTCCTCTCTTTCTCTCTGTCTTACCTCCTTTCCTCCCTCTGTCTTCTTTCTTCTTTCTCTCCTCCTCCCTCTCTCCTCTCTCTTTCTCTCTGTCTCTCTCACCTCCCTTCCTCCCTCTG